TAAGACGGCTTCTTGCCTCTAACTGCTCATGCAGTCGCCTATGGACTTCCATCTGCATCCGAATTGCTTCAGCGTGCACGTTCCTGCTACCATAATTTCAGATCCACAACCAAAACCATCTGCGGATTAAGTTTCAAGAAGATGGTGGTGACTTACTCGTTCATGTGACGACCCATCATTGCCGATGAAGAGGCTGCGTTTCTTTGTAGCTCGAGGGCAGCAGCTGGCACCAAGGTTGAAGCACCAGAGAAGAAGCATGAGGCAGAAAGAAAGATGTCGAAGAGATGCAAAGATACATAGCGTATATGCATACGGTTTGAGCATGAATGAGTCAGTAAAACTTGGGAAAACGAATGTTACTTCTCACCATTCTTAAAAGAATGATCATTGAGTTCCTTGTGGGGTTGCTTTCCCAGCCTGAACTTCTACAATTGCAAGCATCAACAGAAGATACATGAATGATGTTTGACAAGGAATTTGGACAAGGTCACGCAAAGCGATCAGCTTGAGGAAAACCTACCTGGAGATGGCTCTTGAGATGGTAGAGAGTAAGACCTTTGACACCCATAACTCTCATGATGGTTTTCGGTGTGGCCTCTGCAAAACCAAACACAGTTCATATCATTCACATATGACGGGGAGAGAGAGAGAGAGAGAGAGAGAGAGAGAGAGAGAGAGAGAGAGAGAGAGAAATTTGTGTGTACTGTCAGGTCCTCCGAGTTGAGTAACGGCGTCGACGAAGCGATCATGGAGCTCCACAGTCCACCGAAGCCGGGGCTTGGGATCGGTGGTGAGGACAAGGCCAGAGTCCCCTTGGACGCACATACCCCGATCATGTGAGCTCACAGTTGCCTTCTTGGACGGGAACATTCTTTCTTCTCTCTCTCTCTCTCTCTCTCTAATTTTCTATCTCCCCTTCTGTGTAGAATTGGGCTAGATTCAAGAACAAAAGCGTGGCATATATGGAGGAATAGGGTTCCGTTCCTGGAGAGATGGCCTGAGACACTCCCCCCTCTCCTCTCTCACTCTCTCCTCAGAAGCCATGGCTTATTGTTATTCTACTCCCTGCACAAAAGCCACCGACTCCAAGCCCCCCTTTGCCAAAAGACGTGTGCTAGTGGGGGAGAGATAGAGAGAGAGAGAGAGAGAGAGAATGACTTAATTAGGTCATTATTCTTCTCGTCACCACGGAGCCTTTCTCAAAACAAGGAACAGTGCAATCATATATTGGCCCCTGGAATGCAGCCCTACTACCCCCTCATAATTATGCTTGAGATCAATCAATCTCTGTCCCCCCTCCCCTTCCTTTCCTTCCGTACTAATTTAGATATCCCAAGCCATGCAAACATAATCAGAATATATTAACTCATGCTTCACCCACCTCGCAAAGAAAAGTTTTTTGGGTTAATCGTAAGATCCAGAACCATCTTCAAACAATCTCCTCATCAACTTTATTGCTTCTACCGGTCCGAGAGTTAGTCAAACTTGTGCATGTTGTGTGCATAAAAAAAGGTTACAATAGCCATATAATTGGTTAGAACACGATGCAAACATCCATGTCTACCACTTCCTTCCTACTTTACTCTCCAACATCTTTATCGGTCAAACCTTGCATTTCGTTCTGACTCTTCTCTCCAGCAAGCATGGATGCCATTCGTGTATGTAACTTTGTGGCTGCGTTGCATGCATCAAGAACAATCGAAGCAGGAAGTTTGAGCCGCCTCCCATGGTGTGTGTTGTTTGTAATTAGCCAGCACGATCATTGTGATTGCAAGCGATAGGATAGTTGAATAGCACACGAGACACAGAGAACAGCATCATTTCATGTATGGAGCTCTCCAGTGGATAGCCCATCGGTTGCTTAATTGGTGGAGCTGAAGATTTACTTAGACATAGATGTGTGTCACCGAAGCATTCCATCACCCCAAATCCATGCAAAATTTAAGATGTCAAACCCACCAAGTTGCAATAAAAGGTAGTCAGGAGGAGTGAGGACAACAAAAGGTTACTTCTTCCTCTTCCATCATTCCCTTTCTTTATCTTGATCCTAAAACCCATGCCACTTAAGTACATACACCACAAGGGAATAGATGCTTTCTTCTTTGACAATTCAACAGAGATTCTTCAGCAATTCTTGCAATATCTCTTAAAGACGTATTCTTTTGGTATTTAAGCATCAAAATATTCATGTAAGTACTATCCCTCATAATCTGATGACATCCAAAAATGTCAGTAGATTCAAACATTGTAAATTCAACTGTTTCCAAGGAACTTAAAATATGGAACTCAGAAACCCTAAATTTGAGTGGCAGAAGGCACAAAGATTGTGTTTCATTCTTGAAATACCAAGATTGTGACTTTGCTTGTGTCATATGGACGTATACTTTTCCTGGGTATTCTAAAAAAATAAAGTGCTGTTCAAAGCTAAGATTCTCAGAGGACAGGATTTCTGCACTCACCATCCTCACTTTGGCATCAAACATGTCCACCGGTTACTATCTAATGAAAGATTTTATTTCTCATATTTTTGCGATTTGGATGAGAAGGAGAAAAAGGTAAAACTGAACCAGTTAAGAGAACTTTCGACTCGATCGAACGAGTTGTCAAACTTGAGAGCAAACCACTACTTTCGATTCATCGAAAACCCTAATCCGTTAGTTAGGTCGACTAAATTTCTAGATGAATATGTATAGTATTCATCATGCATTATTCCTCGATTTCAGCAAGAAATACATTAACCAAATCATGGTTTAGGAAAGCTACAAACTCTCTCTCTCTCTCTCTCTCTCTCATTCCATCCAACACATTCGATCGGTCGACAAGGAAGCTTCGGCCTCTTTAGCAGCAAAAGATTCCTAATGAAATCCACGTGCAGTTGGAGCTGTCCCACTTAACCACATACTTTGCAAAGCAGTCTTTTAACCTTTAGTTCATCAAGCTCCAAATCATATCCACAAGCCATGTTAGCTTAGATCTCAAGCACACAGTTAGAGATGCTCTTTTGACTGATTCCTTGTCTAAGGAACCACTCTCTTTTTAGAAGCTTCACGCCATGACCTATACGTCTTCTAGGTAACCCTAGTTCTGTGTGAGGATGTGTCTTCCCGGCAAACCCCTAGCTTGGTTAAGTAGTAAACCGATAATAGCTATAGCTCATCTCCAAAATCACAATTTTGGTGTTCACAGTCTAAGCCACTGATAATAGCTATGGCTTTCTTAATTCGTATGACTGGAGCAATTTGATGAACTATATATGCAAGAATGTTGATGAAATGATATCTGTACCCCAAAAAAAAAAAACAGTGAGATCACCAAAAAATTACAAGCATAATATGAATCTAGCCAGTTATGAACTCCAACAATTCAAAAAGATTCAAAACACTCACTAATTAAATATTAATGAAACCATAGTTTCAAGAACAAGTATCTTCGGATTCCTAGAGCCAATGATCCCAGGAGAATAACAAACTCTAGTATGAAAAAGTCTCTCTCAAAATTAGAGTTATATTGTTCTATAAGTGTCGTATGTATAGAGGGAAAGTAAAATGTGATGAAATAATTTTTGGATGCTTCTAGGTTTCTTTTTAGGGTGTCCACAGAGCGTGAGAGAAAAGGTATGAATTTGGTGTAGGTAAAGAATTATCGAACCATGATAATCTTATGCCTATTTTTTGATATTTATTTATTTTCTTCCTTTCCAATAAAGAGATACCTCAAAACCTTCTTTTTACGATCATTGTATTTTTTTGATGATGAGAAATTTTCGGATATGATGCTTTTGTTGTCAGCTGAAATGTATGTATGAGCTATTAGCTAGCATGCTTCTTCTAACTGCATTTGGCTTCTAATCTCTCAATGATCGATCCTTCCTTCTGCCAACTCGATGGTTTCATGATCAGTGGCCGATGAGACCATCCTCACTGGTACCTACTCAAGATCATCTTCCACCAATTCACCTTGAACTGCCCATGGCCTTGCAGTCATCAAAGAAGTGTGAACATTCATAAAACCAGCAGCCAATGATCCCTTTGTCATGGTCAGACAAACTAGCAAACACAGGAATAAACTAATCATTTTATTTTAACCTTTTTCCAAAGGCAATGCGAGCTTAATGATGATAATCCAATGGTCCAACTTCTTCTTCTTTTTTTTGGTACTTTACCTTTCATCTTTGAATTTTCTATCCCTACTACATAAGCATTCTTTATAGGCAGCTAGCAGCTAAGCTATATGTAAAAAAAAGGAGACATCAAGTTCAGGTGACTCAGACTCAAGTGTTGGATCTACTTCTTGGGCACAAGACCTCACTTGCAGCAGCTTCTCCCTACCACCTTAGCACATTTGGTAGTGCTATGGTGCTATAGCTTTGCTTTTTTTTGCTGTGGTAAAGTCTGTGTACTGATGGGCCTGCAAGCATAGTGATGCCCAAATGCAATGTACATATGATCCATGTAAGTTGGATCACCATTTGGGCTCTGGAAAACTGCTACATGTGGTTAATAATAATCTAAGGCATACTCCATTTTATCCTGTTACCTATGGATGCATTTCATTTCAGAGCAAGCATCCCTTAATATGTATGCAATTAAATTCATTTCATTTGTGACCATAGCTCTGATGCCACTGCCAAGAAGAAAGAAAGAAAGAAAGAAAGAAAGTTTTCGAGTTTAAATTACTGATATAAGTAAATTTTTTACCTTTTGTCATCATACACTCTTAACTACTTGGCAGAGTATTAATTAGGTTTTATCACGATTTGAATTTGGATTAGGGTTCTAAGTAAGAAGAGAAAGTTCTCAATCAATTAGGATTTGTTCCAATAATAAATAAACCATGAGTCTCGTCGTAAGAGAAAAATATATAGATGAAGATAGGAGTTGAAAGAGGAGTTCTCTAGTAAGAAAATATACGTCTCGTGTGAGCTTTGAGTTTAAGTCCAGGAAAAGTGATTCTTAATATTTGATTTTTATCATATAGTGAATCAACAGAGCAGCCAGCCATCACAGTAACCCAACCTTCTTCTAACTATTTCCTCAAGATTACAGAGTTCACATACTTCTCCAAAAACAATCATTATTTTGATTATTATTCTAATAATATTTATCTTGAAATATATTTTTGGCACAGCTATATATTTTGTGGGAAAGAGGAAGAATGTAAACCAAGAATATGTTTCATTAGCTATATATATATATATATATATATATATATATATATTCTCAGTTCCTTCTTTGATTTTTGACCATTGACCATCAATTCCTTTGATACCGAAAAAGCTAAATGATAGTGAAGCTTCTCCTCTCTTGATCCCTTGTCTTCTCACAACAAGTAACGATCGAGCTTGCTGTTCACAGAGGTTGGCCTCACCGTGCTTTGACTCGATAGGCCTTCAAACAAGAAGCCATCAGCCGTCTCCGAACTCATCGCGGAATTGGTGGTGAGCTCTTGAAGAAATGCATCGCTGTAGTTGCTGCTAACGCTAAATGCTGTCTCCGAATACTGATATCGCTGCTGCTGCTGCTGCTGCTGCGGTCGGTAGTGTTGCTCCGGGAACACCGTCACCGTCTCGCGAACCGGATCGCTGGAACTGCGACCAAAGGTGACGACCGGCCCACCGCCGCGCCGATAACCCGAGGAATAGGGACCGGACGGGACGCCGGTGAACTGCTGCACCATCGCCCGGAAATTGGCGGTGTCGGTGTTCAGCATGGTGACGGGGGCCCTTCTGGAGGCCCTCGGCCGCCGCCGGGACGATGGCCTCGCCACGCGGCCGCCGCTGCTAGCCGACCAGTCGATGGTAAGGTCGGATGCGGCCGTGAAGGCCGTCGGCTCCGACAACGAAGCGAACACCGCCGGGCTTCCGGTCGCGTCACTGGTTGCCATGGACAGTCGAAGCGAGGCAAGCAAGGAGTAGGCAAACGGGCAGCGGCGGCGTGTTTATATAGCTGCAGCGAAAGATTGCAGTGACCAAGGCTGACCGAGATGCTATGACAGCCATCTATTTAATTCAGCGGACGGTCCTGATGACGCCGCGCCGATGGTGGTGGAGCGCGCGGGGACAAAGGCGCAGGTTCGAGGAAGCATCCCTTCTTCTTGGGGTGGCGATTGCAGGGACATGATTGGGTAGGGTGCGGTGGCTATGACTCGTGCTGGCTGGCTTGGGATGCGTAAACATGTGCGATGCCGTCTCGGTTCAGCCAACCCTTCTCCTTCCCCTCGTTGACACGCCATGCTAAACCTGTGGCCCTGTTTGATGAATAGCGACTTTGATGCTACGGCTGCACTGCGATCGCGTCAGTCAACGGTTGACCGATTTAATTCCCACGTCGAACCACACCGAAGCTACTGCAATGTTGTTGATGCTCCAACGTTCAAGCAAAGATCCCACCAACTTGTTTTGATTGGTCCATTCGGAGCAATTCCTTCTACCTTAAAATCTCGAATTTATGGAGCAAATTTGGAACAGGAACTCGCATGATTGATCTCCTCCTTGTTACAGCAGCTCATCATCCTTGTGTTAAGCACATGTAGCCCATGCCGACCGATCTATCCAAGAATAACAGGACTTCCTCTGTTTCCCTATAAATGTGGAATCAGACCATGTCCATAATTCACAGACGCTGAAGATATTTTATGAAACGGGTTGATATTAGTGATCCTGAACGAGTTAATTCTTCAACGCCGCACCCATCCATCCGATCGAATTAGTCGTGAAAGTAACGCGGCAGGACGTGTGATGTTACATTTGCTAGATTTCCCACCAACCTCGTTCGACAAGCAGTGCGTTGCCGGGTCGTCATTCATACTAATCTGGCCCGAAATCAATGATCTCATGCGAGTAATGGTGTCCTTTCCTTAACAGGGATTGTATTTGACTCGACCTAAACTACAGACACGTGCTGCCAAGAACACAGTTTATTTTGGCCTAATCTCGATTACTATGCATGCAGAACAAGAGTAACTCTTCATCTTATGACAGGGCCCGCTTCAGCAGCCTCTCCTCAGGCACATGCACCGGCGCCGGAGACCGTGGCAATGCCCACCGTTGAAGCCCTCGGTCTGGCAGACATGGGCGCAGTTGGTGTCGGAGAAGCATAGCCCCCGGAAGGAGCGGCTCGCGTACCTGCACACTCTTGCTTCCACTCCCGGCATCATCAGCTCTGCGACCAGTTTTCATTTCCAGATGTACGTTATTACCATCGTCATCTTCATAGCTAATCAGGACCAGATCATAATGGATGAAGCTGAAACATTCATCATAAAAGATTTGAACATGCACATCACTATCCAGACAGCACTACTTACGAGAGGCAGAGAAAAGCAGAAACATGAGGAGAGCACATGCTGTTGCCTTCACCTCCATCTTGCTTCCAACTCCCAACTTAAGCAGCTAACGACGCTGATGGCGCGGGGAGTATATACACGCACGAACATGTGAACAGTCGAAGCCAGCTCACGTTGTCGGAATGCATGCATCGGGGTGGCGAGACATGCAGGGCACTACGTAGCAGCCTCTGCTGTCCACACGTATGTATGCACCTCGTTCACGCCGATCCCAATGCCAAGTGCCGACTCCTGCGCACACCATGTCATCCTTCACCAACTCCCAGTCTCAAGTTCTCACTCGTGTTCTCATCGTTGGAAATGTTATCGGGTCGGATCCAGAAACGCTTTTGAACCCATGAAGGACGCCCCTAAAAGATACTCGAAGGGATGCATAGCGTCCATCAAATTCACATGTTATAAGAATAATAACAAAATCGATTTCCCGCCCACAAAAATGACTGGGCAGCTGCAAGAAAGGTTAAATTTACTCGTAATAATATGCCAGGGTAGCATTGACAATTACACTTTGTGCGAGTCAGAAGATCTCAAGTAGATAAAAAGCATAGTCCATAAGCAACAGCAATATGATAATTTAGCGTACCTAGAGACTGGTCATTCCAATTCTACCTCTTAGCCACTAAGCTCACAAGTCCATCGTGGTACACTAACTCATGTCATAAGGAAGACTCCACATAGTCAAAGTTCAAGGCACCGAGGGTGGTCTTTAAGAGACATTTATAAATGTTGAGCACCAAAATGAACAGTCCAGCAGTAAACCATAGTCTGCTGCTGTAAAGGAAAGATGGATGGAAAACTGAAGTGAAGCACTGAAAATATTGTCCCTACACAAAAGGCAAAAAAGACGGAACCACGAGTGATTATTGCACGGGTGGAGTGTTGCAAGAACCTGCATGCGCAACCAAGGCTTCAGAAACTTGGAACCATTTGTAATCCAAAAATCCTCAATGCTTAGCATCTTCTTCCTCGCAGAACTTGGAGTATTGCTCCGAGTCCATCAGCGAATTCAACTCGCCCGTGTCACCCATGTTAACCTTTACAATCCAGCCATTCTCGTATGGGCTCGCATTAACCTGAGTCAAGTTACCAAAGACAAATGACCATCTCACTGGTTTTATCGAACCCTCAAAGGAGAAACAGCTTTAGCGCAGACAAGTATACGGACATTGTCAATTTCAAGACACGAATATTAACAAACATATACACATGCTTTTGGATATGTAGGGGGACAGCAACAAGTAAACAATAACCAAAATTCTAACTTTTAGAATATTGCAAGCAAACAAATGGCAAGACGTGTCTTCGATGGTATGACATCAGAATTGTGCAATTCACAAGAAAAGATGGTAGGAAATCATTTTGATTTAGTCATATACTCCAATCATCTGCATGTTCACCTCAGGGATTGGAATATCAAAGACAATATATGTTGCACTTACAGGATGACATGCAAAATAGATGAGTTTGGGAGAATGCAACCAAAAGCTGCTCTATAACAGCAGATGTCAAAGTGAAAGCAAATAAACACACATCTAGAGCTGAAGTTGGTGGACCGACAAATTAAAAACTGATAACTATTTCTTGATGAGATGAAACACATTGTTAGCAGTGCCCATCAAGTAGCGATATCATTTCATGAAATACCAACAAGTTCGGCGAGCTTTGACACAGAATTGAACTTGCGATGAGACTTGCGCCCTGATTTAATACCCTTTTAAATCTGAATAGTTTAGTTACTTTGTATCTAAATTAGCAATCACCAAAGCAAATCAGTCTCTCCTGACCTTATGTTTCATGAAGAAATTTCAAGGAGCCCACACTTGGTATACACATTCTTTTTCCATCCATTTTGCTATATCACCATCATCTTTAAATAATCAAATGTGATAAATGTTAACGTACAACTAGGTGGGTTATATTCTTCCTGCAGAGATGAGAAAAATGACTATCTACAAAAAAGCCTTGGGCCTTTCTTTTAACACGACACATTGGATCCAAGACATCCAACTTCACCTTATCTCCCTTTTTTTTCTTTTATTTCAAAGTGCTGATATATTATCGAAGCATTCCTTCCTCTTCCTTGGAATGCCATGTGGAAATGTTTTAAGTATTTAGACTCAGTGCCGCAATACTGACCTAAATGGGTCAAAAGGATTTCTTACTTCAGTTACTAGATTCCAGCTCTAAAAATTGGGTACCCAAGTAAATATTGCAAGGAAGAATAGATAGATGGCCTGTGGACTCTGCCGCTGATGGGCAGATTGGCACAAGTCATCATGAATCCATCCCTTCCTCAAGAGAACCACTTTATAATCTACTCTGTTTTTTAGGACCAACCACATGAAACACTTTGGCCTTCATGATGCAGGGAGCCACTCAAATCATCTTCTGAAATCTAGAAATAGTGCCATTGTTGTTGAAAAACATATAGAAACAGAAAAAAGTTTGGAAGAGGTCCATCCCCAAGAGATGGAGTCATTGGAGGAGTATAAATTAGTATGCTCTTTTTGGTGTATGATAGATAAAAGAACAAAGAGCTAGAGACCTGTCAAATAGGACAAATAACAAGGTTAGAGTAATTTCCTAGGCCTGAACTGTCACACTGGTGTGTTGTACTCACAGAGATAAGGGTGTGCGAATGAGAGTGACAAGGCTGGAGAAGGCATGCTCGGGAGGAAAGGATGCAACCAAATATCCTTCAAAAGCAGGATAGGATGACCATCACCCACAACAAAGATAGAGATAAGCCCCAAGGCTGCTTTGATAAATATATTGCCTCAGATGGGGGAGAAGGTTCTCCTTGCCGAGGTGAGCAGACTAGACCCCTCATGCTTGACTGTGTGACCATGATTGCTTTCCACCATTATTTTCAAAGATGAAAAGATTGAAGTACACAAATATTAATCACTCCAAGCTCGCCCTACCCTTTGGATTTGCAAACGATGGAACATTTGTTAACGGACCATAAACCAGTCCATATTCTTATGATCACCAGAGCTATTGCATAGACTAATTTACACATTTATTACCTCTGAAAAATATTATTTGCACAAGATTTCCTAGATTGAATCTAAATAGAGGCAAGAAGGATGTGTGTGTATATATATATGCATAGAAAGAGAGTATTGTTTTGAACCCATCACATATCAGAGAATTGGGAAGTTATTTGTTACTCGTGCAAAGAGGCATCAAATTATGAAAATTGAAATCTAAGTTTAATAAAAATAAGTGCCAAATCTATAATTAAGAAGATCAAAATGAGCAGCAAATTGCTTCCTGTACAAGGAAAACAACACCAAACATTTTCTACCAGTTGCATATCCAAGACGATTTGCGTCTTGAGATTAAGTCGTCATTTTCTACCAAGCATCAAGTCATCTGCCTCATCCATAGCCAAGCATAGATCGACACTCTCTGCCATTGTTGATAATGGCACAATTTGATACAAGTCTGTAGATATTTAACCAACCTAAGCTATTTTAATAATGACAGCATTTAGCAGCTTCCGATACCTAAATCTGCTAAGACTGTTCAGCAATGGTGATTACTTTGAATGACTATTCTTCATTTATTACTA